GAGAGAGAGAGAGAGAGAGAGAGAGGGCTGGAACATTGTACAGTCCACCAACCAGCCATAGGTGCGCAGTGCCTTCACAACACCCCTCTCCTCCTTCATCATCTTCTTCCATAGATAGTAACCTTCAGATGAGACGAGATACTGACTTGCAAGAGCCAACGCCCGCCCCCTGATTTTCGTCCCAGACTTCTTCTTTCCCGCCTTTGCATTCATCGAGGTCGCCATTGCCCTCGTCGTTGACTCAGACTGTCCACCACTAACATCCTTTCGTTTGTCGGAAGAGGGAGCAGCCCCTGCATCTGGGAAAGCAGTAGAAGATGTGGCCGATGTGGATGACTTGGCAGCAGACGCCCTCTTGGCAGCAGATGCCGTGACAGCAGCTGATGAGGCAGCAGACGATGACATAGCAGCAAATGGCTTGGTAGCAAATGGATTGGCAGCAGATGACGTGGCATAAGATAACGTAGAAGCAAATGGCCTAGTAGCAAATGGCTTGGTAGCAAGGGGCATCCCGCAAATTAGGGACCGGTATCGGTAGGGGCGTAACGAAAAGATTTGAGGCCCAAACGACACCGGGGTCTTATGGAAAATTTGAACCCTGCTCAGAGGGGCGCGACAGGGTAAATAGGCCATTGGAGGGGAGCGACGCAACGGAAAGTGGAGAGGGTAGGGGGAGTAGTATTCGAGAGAAAGGGTTTACTTTTTTTTTTTTTTTTTTTTCAAAAAAATGATTAATTTCCATTTAAACTTTACCGGGAAGCGGGCCCGGCGTGGCTTACAAAACATTCACAGCCCCAGAATTGCTCCCTGCTGCTCCGGCGGGGTGCAAGTCCAGGCTGTAGAAACAAAACCAAACGCAGCCCCTCAACAGGCTGCGGAAACAGGACTCAACGCAATCCATCAATGAACCACAATCACCAAGCAAAGCAGGTAAACGAAGTAAGGAAATAAGCGATGCTATTGAAGACAGTATTAGAACGTATATCATCCCTAATTATACACATTTTAATCTACATTGCAGTCTATGCTTTTTGTTGTAAGAAAAAGCAAAGATAGTCTCTATTGCCTTTTTTTTTTATTAAAAACGGACCGCTAGATGACTTGGACGACATGCATCTCCATTGTAGTGTACAGTCACACAGCCCAAGGAAACCACAGAGACGTTGCTCAGGCAGGGGGGTGATAAATACAAATTGGGAGAAAAAAAACCTACTGTGAAATTCAGTTCAAAAAAAAAAAAAAAAGGCTACCAATGGAGGGGTACTAATGGAACTGAGGTAGAATGAGGATGAGGAAAAAGAATTGGGTGCTCGCAAGGAAGATCCAATAGGGGGCGAAAAAAAAAAAAAAAAAAAAAAAAAATAAATAAAAAAAAAAAAAAAAAAAAAAAGATGATCCCATAGAGAGCAAAAAAAAAAAAGAAAAAAAGAAAAAGAACCCATAGGGAGATTTGCGTGCAGTGAAAAATGGCATAGGGCCTCGCCACACCACTCTTGAAACTGGGGAATGTTTCAAGACCTGTCAGACTCTTTCAAGAGTTGCAATTTCTAGTGTTTTTGGCCCCTCGCCACACAGCAAGCACTCTTGAAAGGGCGATAATGGTGACAAAGGATGCAAAAAGACAGGACAGTCCTACTGCTTTCTTCTTTTTTTTTTCTTTTTTTTTTTTTCTTTTTTTTTTTTCTTTTTTTTTAAATGGCCGTCAGTCAGGATAATGACCTGACAGCTCTTGAAAATGGATAGTCCCTCAAGGGTTTGGCCAAGGACGCTTGAAAACGCACTAGTTGCAGGCTGCCAGGCTGAGGCTGGGGTTTCCAATCTTTCAAGAGGCAGCTGCTCTTGAAAGGGGGTTTCAAGAGCCTGCCACTCTGACTCTGACAGCTCATGAAAGCCCCAAGTTTCAAGAGGCTGTGTGGCCATGCAGCAACTGTACTCTTGAAAATGAGTTTTTTGTTTCAAGAGTGGTGTGTCGAGGCCCATCATTGGAAGATTTGAAAAACAGTCGAGAAAATTTAATACCTTTCTCGACCTTTTGGCTAAGATCAAGTGTAGTACTGTCCTTTTTTTCCTGTTTACGGAAACTGTGGCTGCGACACACTTTTAGTTTGAAATAGGCAAGAAAAGACAAAGTGGCACCCGAGTGATAGTGTGAGTTTAGAAATGCCAGTGTGCGAGTTTAGCGGGGGTTCTCAAACTGCACCAGTCATTACCCGCAGTGGCGCTTGGCAGGGTCGCCTTTTTT